CAGCCCTCCGTGCCCACTGCACTGGAAATAGTCCAGCCTTGTGCCAGTGGCTCCAAACTGACCTATTTCCAAGCTGCGTCCTGGCCCCCAGCCATAGCCCGCGAGTGGTTTGTGCACAGGGCTTCCTGCCTCTGCCAATGGGGTGGGGGGGATCAGTGAAACTGTGGGCTAAGCCCCCGACCCCAGGGGGCAGGCAGCCTCCAACCGTTTGCAGAGTAAATTCGAAGCAGGCGCTCTTTGTGAGGTGATGCAGACCCAAAGTGCAGTGAGCTATCACCTCACGCTGCTTCTGTATTTTCTTTAAAGAAAAAAAAAAACCCATTCGTTTCATGATATTTTATTATTGTATCATTCCTTTAGAAAATGCTTGATCGTGGACGCTTGAGACAGAAAATTAGAATAGTGTAGAATGGATGAATAGTACACTTATATTCATCTTTGTGCTTAGCTCCATAGATTGGTGACTTTCCACTCTTCTTGGGAAAAAATTATTAAAAAAATTTTTTTTAATTTTTTTTTTATTTTTGAGAGCGAGAGAGACATAGTGCGAGCGGTGGGAGGAGCAGAGAGAGAGAGGGAGACACAGAATCCGAAGCAGGCACCAGGCTCCGAGCTGTCAGCACAGAGCCCCACACGGGGCTCGAACCCACAAACCGTGAGATCATGACCTGAGCAGAAATAGGACGCTTCACCGACTGAGCCCCCCAGGCACTCCCATGATGTGATATTTTTACATAATTAAAGTCATAGCTTTTTGCTTTTTGCCATCCCTTAACACGGAAGCCCGACATTTTAAAAGTTTCCCTTCGGTTTTTGAATTTAACGGTTTTGTTGCAAACTAGGCGGTCGGTTGGATACACATAAATTCTTAAACCGTGTCTTTATGCTGGAAGTTAAGTTTCCTCCTAGATATTACTGTTCCACATGACATCTTTAGACTTGGAGGACGCACCTCCTGCTAGGTCATTTCTCTGCAGTGAGTTTCCCGGATTCTGGGTCGGATGAGGACAGTGCTTTGGGCACGTCCAGAGCAGCTGACGGTGCCCCGGGAGCGTCCGCAAGGGCCACTTCGGATCAACCTTGCCAACACTCGCAAATGGCCACTGGCCTCGAGCCTTGCCGCATGAATTTACACACACACCTTTACATTTCATTTTAACTGTAAGTCAATCTGATTCGTTGCCTCTCATGCTAATAATTTAATAGCAGCAACAAGAAGAAATAAGGAAAGCCAAGCATCTGCTGCTGGGATGTCCTCTTTCTGCACCTTTTGAGGTTTTCCCGCATTTTTTTAAGACACAGGCTGACCCTTTAGCCTGCACAGGTGGATGGCAGTAGCCCCGCCCCCCCACCAGTCCCCGCCCCCGCCACCAGTCCCCGCCCCTCAATCCTGGAACAGTGACTGTTCTCTGGGCCTCCTGCCTGTGTTAGAATCTTCTTCTCTGCTCTGTGTTTCTAGCTCCTCTCCCCATCGATGAAAAGCACATGCAAACCTTTTGGCTAGCGCAGGGGGATTGGGGCGCACTTTAATATGAGGGGATCATGGTCCTATAAACCCAGGGTCCGCTCCCAGCTGTGGGTCGGAGGGGGCTGACGGAAATCACGAAACCCTACCGGCCACCATTTGACCAGGAACCGGGTTCCACCTGCTGGCCCCACACCCCAGGCCCTCGCTACCCATAAAGCCCCACATTCTCGCTTTCGAGGGCCACACATGTGGCAGAATGCTCGTAGACACAGGCAAGGGTTACAGGGTCTCCTGGCCCGGCTCCTGGGAAGCCCCAAGGCTGTGGTGGCTGTGGTGGCTGTGGTGGCCTCCCCACTCCCCTGGGACAGCCCCAGATAAGCCCACCCCAACCCAGGCCACATTGCTCTGAACCTTCCTCCTGGCCCAATGCCTTGGGGCCTGGTCCTTAAAAACACCATCTGGGACACGACTTTTCTTCTCTTTAACATTTGAGGAACAGATTTTCAACCTGAGCTTCAACTACTGCAAACCTCAGGGCTTCTGTGTGTATGTGTGTGTGTTTTCCTTGTAGGAGATCTTTCTTCTTCTGTAAGTGATGTCTACTC